ACACCTCTTATCAACAAGGATGCCTGAACGAAACATATTTGTATACCTAACCCTTAACTGTACCCCACAATATCATAATTTTAAAAAGGGCAAAAATTATGTACTTTGCATTTTAAAACAAACTCCCCTCCCCCGCAAGAAACCTAAAATGATGCTCCACCCTGGGGCAGAGAGAAGGGGATTCTTGGGGGTACTGGTATGCTCAAATGTCTTAGGAAATTGTGGCTTAAGTAGCCACAGACTCAAAGCCACCCAGGGACAGCATAGCGTCTTGTGGGAGTGACCCTGAGGAAGCATGCACCAGCAGTGCCTGGCTCTGCCTGCGGTGCTCAGGCCAATAGGACATGCATCTGTGCATCTTCAGCAGAGGCTAGGAGGAGGGAAAGGAGGCAGGTATTTCCATGACGTGTGATAATTACCAGTCAAAAAGATCACTGAGGTTGTTTTCATCTTTCCTGCTTAGGCGGCTGCCCTGGTTCACATTTACCTAGACGGCTCTGTGCTGGTTACTCATGGTGGCGTTGAGATGGGCCAGGGTGTCCACACGAAAATGATTCAGGTAAGGGCAGAAGAAGATAGGTATAGCTTGTAGATATGTTCTTGAGAGGAGAACTATAAATGTACATTTTCCATTCCAAAGTAAAGGCTAGGAGCTTTTGCTTGGGCAGCTGACGCTGTTAAACTGGTAGCAAAAATGGGGTAAACAAGCCAGTTTTATAACTGAACCTCCTAAAAGAATGTGGCAGAAGAGTCTCCAGTGGTTTTATCGCTAAAGAAGGTTGTATGTTGATTTGCTGCTCTCCTTTGGGTATATTAGCTATTAGGGTTTCTCTCTTGAATCTTTGCTAGACAATAAGAGGGTGTGAAATTCTGATGGATTTCATGATTTCTTGCCCTTTTGGTAATATCAATCCATGTTGTGCATGTGTGTGAGGACTTCACACATGTACTGCCACCTGGGCATGTACACAGGGCTGCTGCTAGCCAAAGTATTTGAAAATAAACTCTCTCCTAAAATCCAGGTGGCTAGTCGTGAACTAAGAATGCCAATGTCAAATGTTCACCTACGTGGGACAAGCACAGAAACCATCCCCAATGCAAATGTCTCTGGAGGGTCTGTGGTGGCGGACCTCAACGGATTGGCAGTAAAGGTACCAGTCCTTGTAGCATTGTTCAAATCACTAACCCCCTTGGTGCCAAATAAGTGGGTGGAGCCCAGAAGATGTGGAGCATCCATCCTGCCATCCCACTATCATCTCCTCTAGTCCCAGCTCAGTGAGTGATGGTGCAGCTCACAACAGTTCTTCTGTGCTGGAAATGCCATTTATTTATTTATTTATTGAGTCAGAGTCTCACTCTGTCCCCTAGGCTGGAGTGCAGTGGCACACTCACGGCTACCACAGCATTGACCTGCTGGGTTCAGGCGACCCTGCCACTTCAACCTTCCAAGTAGCTGGAACTACAGGCATGTGTCACCATGCCCAGCTAATTTGTTGATTTATTATAAAGATGAGGTCTCACCAAGTTGTCCAGGCTGGTCTCGAACTCCTGGACTCAAGCAGTTTTCTTGCCTTGACCTCCCATAGTGCTGGGATTATAGGCGAGAGCCACTACACCTGACCAGAAATGCCACTGTCTCCCCTCCCTCACTCCTGACAGCTCACTGGTCAACGAGTTCTTTCAGTTCTACTAAAAAATATCTCTGTGTCTTTCTACTTCTGTGGTGCACTAATATTGCTTGAGCCAGACTCCCATCTATCACCTGGGCCACAGCAGAACTTCTGTCTGTTCACCCAATTCCAATGCCACCAGAGTGAACTTTCCCACAAAATAAATCTGAACATGCCATGGCTGAACATGCCGTGACTGAAAACAGTGCCTGCTGGTTTTCTGTTTAGTCCTGACTTCTTAGCGTGGCTTATAAGGCCAGGTATCTCTCTCTCTCTCTCTCTCTCTCTCTCACACACACACACACACACACACACACACACACACACCACACACCCATAGCGTGGCTTACGAGGCCAGGTTTCACACACACACACCCATAGCATGGCTTATAGTCAGATCTCTCTCTCTCTCTCTCTCTTTCTCTCACACACACACACATACACACACACAGCGTGGCTTATAAGGTTAGGTCTGTCTCTTATACACACACAAATACACACACCCCCTGTAGCATGGCTTATAGGGCCAAGACATACACATACACACCCATAGCACACGTACACACACACACACACACACACACACACACACACACACACACACACACACACACATATCCCTGTAGGAAGCCTTTCATGTCACCTCCATGCAGGGTTGGTCTCTTACTCCTCCATGTTCTTATTCATGTAAGCCTATGGAAGGTTACCTATCATGTTTTGAAATTGGTGTTTGCATGAAATTATGATCATAATTTGAATTTAGAAATAATCCCTAGGATGCTTGTCAAACTCTTCTCAAACGCCTGGAACCCATCATCAGCAAGAATCCTCAAGGAACCTGGAAGGATTGGGTGAGAACCCCTGATTCTTTGTGTTTTATGTTAGAACAAAAAAAAAGTGGGGAGAGTGAGAGATACATGTGAACTAAAAGTCTGCAGAAAGAGCACTGTGAAAGGTTCCACTGTTACTCTCAGCATGTGGAAATCCTGTCACAATAGGGTGGAGGAACTCTTGCATCTGGGAGAATTTTCTATTAGAGAAGATGGTTTTTCTGCAAGAACTCCTTTTGTAAGCTAGAATTAATTAATGTTTCATCCTAGGGAGTGTGGATTTTTTTCTAGATAATAACTGTAGACCTGTTTATTCTCCTTCTTGGGATCCCATTGTTCCTAAAACAAAACAAAACAAAAATACTAGAATTATTCTAGAATAGCAAAAACCACACACACACACACTCATCTAAACTAGGAAACCAAGCCATGGGGTGTCCGTTCTACCAGTAGCAGGTGCTCCATGGAATGGAAAGGTAAGTGCTTCCTATGATCTATTTACAACCCAGCTGGGGAATGACACACATTCTAACACCAACTAGCAATCTTTTCAAGTAACAGATGGGAAGGTGTGCATGCTAAATATTCTAGAATGTCAGCTTTTGCAATACGACCAGCACAGGTCTGGGGAAAATACCATTTGGGGAATCCCATTTAGAAATGGTGCCTGCTATTTTGTAGAGTAAGGACTCTCTTTATAATTCACACTTATGGGAGCTCTCAGTCCTTTCCGGAATGTTTGTTTCTGCCCTCTGTCCTGTGCTGCCTGAACCCAGAATGGCCAAGTCAGTCTGACTGGAGAAGGCTGGACGGAGAGGGAGCGTGAAGCATAAACCTTCACCATCGTGAAACATGGTCATTCATCCCACTTTCTTCTCTAATGGGTGCATGCCCCATCTTCTTAGTCTTGGGAAATTAGACCTAACTCCCATTTTTCTGTATAGTTGTCAACTGTGTGCACTACAGAGTCCAGAGAACTTTTGGCATAAATGGCATAATTTATGTAACAAATTGCATTATTTAATATTATTTATGTAATGCATGGCATTATTTATAATTTAATAAATCATTCCCCTCAACTGAAACTGTTATGGACACCTGATGTTAACGTAAAACCCACCAGAGTTTCTTAAAATGCTCCACATGAATAGACTGAGTCTTTCAGACGACTGAGTGAATGTCTTCATTAAGCAGAACGTGTGTTGGCGACTCGAGTCCAGTCTATAAGTATAACACACCACAGTAGACATTTGTGATGATCACATGCATTGAACACATGCTGTGACTACAAGCAGTAGACCACCAGTGCCTGGGGAGATGGAGAATGCTGAAAGGAACTCATTAACCCTGGGCCTTCCGAGTTGTTACAACCAATGCTTTATTTAACACAGAGAAAAGTGAAAAGGGAAGTCTTGGTGATTCTTTCTCTAGACATCTTTTACAGCACCATGTCATGCCTTTCTTTCACAGGCGCAGGCGGCTTTTGATGAGAGCATTAGCCTTTCAGCTGTCGGATACTTCAGGTAAGCCAAACTTCCAGTCACTTGGTATGGAAAATAACCGTTGAATCTTGAGAAAGAGTTTCAGGTTTGTTTGCAATCTTGGCAAAAGTTGATTTTGTACCTTCTGAACATTTAGTTGCTAGTTAATCCAAGTGTCTAGAAAGACTTTTGCTAGGAAAAAATAGGCACATAAATGAAGTGCAGCTGAGTTGATAATGCCAATCATACTGGCTGGTTTTAGAAAGCTCTGAGTACTTGGAATCCACAGTAGTGGTTGACTTTTTGTTGAAAACACCAGCTATCTTTTTTTTTTTTTTTGAGTTGGCATCTCACTCCATTGCCCAGGCTGGAGTGCAGTGGCGCACTCACGGCCACCTAGTTAAGAATCAAAGGTAGAGAATGCAAATTAAACCCTTAAGATAGGCACCATTTTACACTGTTGGGATTGGCAAAAAAGAACCATGACAATAACCATGTGACATCAAGACATGAGACATCAGGAACTCACTTAATTTGGAAAACAGTTAATTAAATTAATGCAGAGTGAAAGCAGTCAAAGAGAGGGTGACATAGAGAGTCTTACCAGGTTTTGTCACTTTACCGGTTGTCATGGAGTCCTGGGCACTGACTAGCTGCCAGAAATAGGCACTAGAGGCATTCTTAATCACCACCTCCATGCTGGGGGAGCAGGAGAGAGAGGACAGAGGGTCCTAGCAAGCTGCCAGCCTGTGTGTCTCATTTGACATTTATTTGATGTCCTTAAAGAAGAGTTGGGAACACAGCAGGCCTCGGAGCCCAATAATGAGAGACAGTGTAGTAGCAAAGAATGACAGCCAAGGAGTCTGACCCTAGATGCAGAAGGTTGCATTCTGGAGCCAGAAAGATAGATAAAGCAAACAACAGAACACTTATGAAGTAGTGTTTGGTGTAAGATGCAGGTTGAGTTCACAGTGTCAGCAGCCAACCTCCAGGAGGAAGGAGTCATCATCAGGAATAATTGATGTTTTTGTGAGACATAGCACGTTAAGTAAGAAAGAACTAAGTGTTTATTTAGCCAACAGACTTACTGAGATGTGTTACATGCTGAGAACCATCGCACAAGGGTATCCCTCTGGTGTGAGTCCGTTTGATCATCACGGTCTACAATTAGCAAACTCGTTCACTCAACCATGCTCCTCAAGAGTTCTGTTTCCTCCAGGGGTTATGAATCAGACATGGACTGGGAGAAAGGCGAAGGCCGTCCCTTTGAATACTTTGTCTATGGAGCTGCCTGTTCTGAGGTCGAAATAGACTGCCTGACGGGGAATCACAAGGTCAGTCCAGACGGAAAGGCCTTCAAGCTGCCCCTAGGAGGCGCCTGAACACCACAGGTGCCATCTCTCGTTGGGAAGTGTGTGGCAGCACCGTGCATTTGACCTAAGGGCAGTTTCTCTGGGTTATAAGAGGCTCCGCAATTGCCAGGGTGGTATGAACGCTTCCAGGGGTACAGCTGGTAGCCTCTCTGCCTCATTTCCCTGGCCCTTTTCAATGAAATTAGGAAAGAAACCACTTTATGGAAGACACACAGCCTAAAGTGAGCTTCCATGTAGACTGTTGGCCCAACTAGCAACCCTGACCTCTATGAGAAATGCCATCCTACAACGTTTTTGAAGGATTCATCAGTGTCCATGATCTGCCAGCTAGCACCAAGAGCCAGCCAGGCAGGTAGTGATACATTTTACCCGGCTGGTTTTTGCTTTTCAGATGGTTGAAGAGCTTCCTTGTTCCTTGTGCTTTTAAGGGATGCCATGAGGAGATGCATACACAGATACACACACACACACACACACACACACACACACACTCTCTCTCTCTCTCTCTCTCTCTCTCTCTCTCCTGTGCTCTCTCTCTCTCTCTCTCTCTCTCTCTCTCTCCCCTGCCAAGGACTCACAGAGTTTCTCCTCTTGTGTCTGAACCTTTGTGGATAAAAGAAGCCACTTACTCATCACTGGCAATAATAATAAATGATCATCGATACACAAAATGGGACTGTAATACCCTCAGAACTGTCATGTTGCCAAGCTACTAGTCTATTGAGAATCTGTTCCAAGACCTGCCCAGAAGCAAGCTGCAGCTCCTATTTCCAAATATCCTTTGTGTCTACATTCTTGGATTGTGATCAGGGGTCAGTTTTCATTTACTATACCCCTAGCATTTTTTTTTTTAACTTTAGTCAGCCTAATCATTGAAATTGTTTTCACCTTTATTGAACCTGCCTATTCAAGTACCTGGCTGGCCTGGATTCCAACTCAGGCTGGATCTCTTCGGGGAGACCTCGAACCAGAACAAAACAATGAGATCCATCTGAGCTTGGTTTTCATGTTAGGGGAGCTACCCTGCTCTATGAGGGAAAGAGTTCTCTTGTGCAAACTCAATTCTCAGTTCCTTCTTTCTCAAAGAAAATGTTATCTGGATTTTCTTATATTCTGTATATACCTTGGCTTTTTAAGATCCAAGAACAGGGTAATAATTAGCCTTAGTATTCAATTTTTTTTTGATGATGCACCCTGAACTCTGGTTCAGTAAATATCCCCCAGCCATCTGTGGGGTTGTGTGCTGTCCACAGAGTTTTGCAGCAAGGATCATGAGGGTCATGGCCGTTTTCTTTTGCTGTGTCATATGCCATATCTATTACAGTGAATTAAACTCAATCTATTGCATCACCCAGCTTGAGTCAAAAACCAAGTCAATTTTTTTCTCTTATTATTTCTAAGAAATTTTTTTAAAAACATGCTTAAGCTGATTAAGAGTATTTGTGTAAATTTGAAAGTTTTACATAATAAACTTCATCACATAATACAATCTTGGTTGCTTTCTCTCTTGATAATGTGACTTAAAGAAAGATTTGTTGTTGTTGTTGTTATTTTATACTAAAGCCAACCAGGCAAGAACTGTTTCTTAGCTTCTTTTCTTTATCTTCATTAAAATAAACATTTTAACTATTTTTTAAATCCCTAGAACATCAGAACAGACATTGTTATGGATGTTGGCTACAGTATAAATCCAGCCCTTGACATAGGCCAGGTATGTGTAACTGACGTGCCGTACCTCCTGTTTGTAAAAGCCAAACCCTTGTAGGGCCTACAGGGGAACATTCTGTCAGGCTTATTCATTATCTTATTTTTCTATCCTTTTAGTCAAATTCTATTCCAGCTGGCTGGAGAACTCAAATTTCTTACTGTTTAAAAAGGGGAAGTAAACAAATGTGTTTTAGGTCGTTTTTGAAGAAATGTGCAATCTATGACTTGGGAGCATGTGTGAGGTAGGACCAAGCCTAGTGACCATGGAACCCCAGACCTCTGCCGTATAAGTAGAGTCGGTGCCAGTTGCTGGGCCTTGGCCGAGGGCTTCAGCTTTCAGGAGTTTAAGGTTGTGTTGGGACAACAAGCCTCAAGTTATTAGAGCAGTAGCTATTGATAGGTGTCCTGTGGACTGAATTCTACCCACAGACTTTTTAAATTTAAATTTGAAATACTTGGCAAGATTAGAAAATCACAAATATCTAGTTTCACTTGAAAACAAAATTTGCCCACACTGGACCTGCAAAAGTCGGTTAGCTGTATCTTCAGCACTTTTTTTTCCCCCAATACAAATGAGGTCTCGCTATGCTGCCCAGGCTGGTCTAGAACTCCTGGGCTCATGTAATCCTCCCACCTTGGCCTCCCAAAGTGCTGGGATTGCAGGCATGAGACAGCATGTACTACCTGCTGAATCTTTAGAGAGTCATACTCCACTGATTCAGGACCCACCTAGAGTTGTCTCACACTTACTTTACCTACCTTGAACCCGTTAGCAGTTCAACTCACTAACTCCAATTCAAAGTATAATTTAATGTCCTCTTTAGTCATGGCATGTGTTGTTCAAGAATGAGAAGAATCTATGGCACAGTGAAGTCAAAGGAGTCTTTGAGGAGGAAGTGGGTGTGGACTGAGTTGTCAAACAAAGATCAAGAAATGATGTTCTGGGAGAAAGAAGAGTGAAGGAAATCACCCTAAAGAAAGACATGAAATTCAGCACACGGTTCGCAAATGGCAATCAGGCTAGGGCCCGTGACAATGGCAGGAACCTGACAATGGGGACGAGTGAGCCATGAGGCCGAAGCCAGAGAATGGAAGAGAGCCATGGGGCAGGTTCTCCAGAAGCAGGACTGAATTTGGTGGTAATGGCCTGGGGTTTTAGGAATACTCATCTGACATCAGAGCCAGAGATGTGAGACCAGCCCGTGGAGAGGAGGCAGAACAGGGTGGTGGGATTCCAGCTCTCACTAGCGTATTGGAGTCCGTGGACACATCAGTCAGGGGGTCTCATCTGCCTCAAAGGCAGAAAAAACAAAGGGGCCTGGGTACCAGGTTTTGAGAGGACTCCTCTCAAGCTACCGTTGCAATAGCCACACCAAGATTAGAACCCAGGTCCTTTAACTTTGGACTTGGTGCTGAATGAGGCATTTGAACATGCTTTTAGGTCAATTTTCAGCAACATACTCCAAGACACCCTCTTTATTTATTTATTTATTTTTAAGTCAGAGTCTCATGCTGTCACCCAGGCTGGAGTGCAGTGGCATGATCATGGCCACTGCAGCCTCCACCTGCTGGGCTCAGGCGATTCTTCCACCTCAGTCTTCCAAGTGCTGGGACTACAGGCACATGCCACCACACCTGGTTAACTTTTTGATTTATTGTAGAGATGAGGTGTCACTGTGTTGCCCAGGCTAGTCTTGAAACCCTGGGCTCAGGCAATCCTCTTACCTCCGCCTTCCAAAGTGCTGGGATTACAAGTGTGAGCCACCAAGCCCAGCCAAGACACCCTCTTAAAAACTCTTAAACTGTAAGAATTCAGACAAACAACATGAAGTTGAAATGCTACTTGTGGTTGACTGTATTCTCTCACGCACAAAAAAATTCTACTTTTTCTTTTCTTTTTTCTTTTTGCCTCAGATTGAAGGTGCATTCATTCAAGGCATGGGACTGTATACAATAGAGGAACTGAGCTATTCTCCTCAGGGCGTTCTATACACACGTGGTCCAAACCAATATAAAATCCCTGCCATCTGCGATATCCCTTCAGAGCTACATGTGTCTTTGTTACCTTCGTCTGAAAACTCAAATACCCTGTATTCATCTAAGGTAGGCTGTGCTCTATGAATAAATCCTCATTTGTATGACATCTGTGGGACAGCGGAAGGGCCACATTCATCTCTTTGTTGTTTGGGGGTTTTTTGGTTGTTGTTTTTTTTTTACCAGGATTGTAGAAGAAAAATCCTTATTAAACATTTTAAAGTAATTTGATTTTTATCTGATTTTTCATCTTGCAATAATTACCTTTATGTCTATAACTGCTTTCTCTATTTGGGGTCATCTTGTTAGGCTAGAATTCTAAGAATGAGAATACTGTGTCAAAAGATTAAATTGCTTTTTTAAACAAAAAATTTATATACATAGGATTGGGCGAAGTGGGTCATGCCTTTGGGAGGTACGAAGTGAGAGGATTGCTTAAACCCAGGAGTTCAAGACCAGCCTGGGCAACATAGTGAGATCTCATTTCTACTACAGAAAAAAAATTAGTTGGGTGTAGTGGCGTGTGCCTGTAGGCTACTTGGGAGGTTGAGGCAAAAGGATCGCCTGAGCCCAGCAGGTCAAGGCTGTAGTAGCTGTGATCACACCACTGCGCTTCAGCCTGGGTGACAAAGTAAGACACTAATTCAAAAAAAAATTACATACATATAATATATAATATTTTAATATAAACATATATATATACATATGCAGTAAGCCCTCTACATACAAACTTTCAAGTTGCAAACTTTCAAAAATGCGAACATGTGTTCACATGTCCAGTCATGCAAGTTAGTTCTCATATCTGGCATACCTCATCATATACATGCATCCTCTACAAGTGGTTGTGCTTTTGTGTACTTTACTGTACAGTATCCTTATTTCAAGCCCAGGATGTCTGGTAGCAAGCCTAAAAGCAGCAGTGATATAGTTGGCACTGTATAGTTAGCTGATTGTGTTAGTTGGGTACCTAAGCTAACTTTTTTTTGAGTTGAGTCTCACTCTGTCACCCAGGCTGGGGTACACGCTCATGGCCACCGCAGTCTCGACCTGCTGGGCTCAGGCAATCCTGCTTCAGTCTTCCAAGTAACTAGAACAACAGACGTGTGTCACCACACACAGCTTATTTTTTGATTTATTGTGGAGACAAAGTCTTGCCAAGTTGCCCAGGCTGGCCTTGAACCCCTGAGGCAATCCTCGCCTCAGCCTCCCAAAGTGCTGGGATTATAGGCTTGAGCCCCTGTGCCCAGCCTTAGGCTAACTTTTTACAAATTGTACTTAATGATTGGAATAGAACTCATTCTTATGTAGGGGACTTACTGTACATACGTGCACGTATACATAGTGAGAGAAAGAGTTGTAATCAAGTTGGCTTGTCTCCCTCTAAGGGTCTGGGAGAGTCGGGGGTGTTCCTGGGGTGTTCGGTGTTTTTCGCCATCCATGATGCGGTGAGTGCAGCTCGACGGGAGAGAGGCCTGTCCGGGCCGTTGAGGCTCCATAGTCCACTGACCCCAGAGAAGATTAGGATGGCCTGTGAAGACAAGTTTACCAAAATGGTATGTTCTGCCTTGTAGGAAAAAAAAGGATAAAATTCTAACCTTTTGGCTCCTATCCTGTGGTAGAGTTTCATTAACCCACTGCTGTGGTTTTTCATGGAAGAAAAGGTGACAGAATCCTGAAAGGAACAGCGTGGTCCTTGAACTTGTGCCCCTAGGGTTGTGTTTTTTCGTCAGGCTGGCACTGTTGGTTCCCAGTGGACTCAGTTCTCTACCACTTGATGAAAGAAAGTCCATTCCCATCAGTTTTATGTCTGTCCCTTGTTTTGTTCCCTTCCTAGGACCTCTCAGTCAGGGATGGAAGTTCAAGGACTATGCCCTGCACCTAGGACACCCAGGCCAAGAATTTGGGTCCCTCCAACCATCTTTCTCCACCCCCACCCAAACAGACCTGGGAAAGTGTGCTGGCAGGGACCCCTCAACAGCACCTCTACCAAACAGACAGCTCAGCTCTTCTTGGGTATTTTCAGTAAGGGAGTTTTTCACTGTAAAAGGAGGTCGTGCCCTTCACAGTTATTCCCCTGACTATAAGCAAGGTGTTTCTGCCTGGACATGGTGGCTCACACCTGTAGGCCCAGCACTTTGGGAGGACAAGGTGGGAGGTTCACTTGAGGCCAGGAGTTCTAGAGCTGCCTGAGCAACATAGGGAGATCTTGCCTCTACAAAATTAATTAATTGATTAATTTAAAAAAGAAAATTGTTCCTTAGACTGAGGGGAAGCCCTGCCTACTCTCCCCTTCACTCTTTGTGGTATTTTTTTTTTTTTTGAGTTGGAGTCTCACTCTGACACCCAGACTAGAGTGCAGTGGCCGCTCCCAGGCACCGCAGCCTCGACCTGCTGGGCTCCAGCGATCCTTCCACCTCAGCCTTCCAAGTAGCCAGAATTACAGGCAGGCGCTACCACGCCCGGCTGATTTTTTGGTTTATTGTAGAGATGAGGTCTCGCTGCCCAGGCGGATCTCGAACCCGCGGGA